ATCTGAGTTACTAATCTAGGACTGAAGCATCACTCCAGGAGGCATAGCCTCAAGGTGTTATCTCTATAATTATTTTTTTTTTAAATGGGAAAAGAGTGATTGGTACACTGGACTCCAACTGTTTTTATTCAAATACAGGAAATGGAGGAAATGCTTTTCCCTTAAGACTTGTCTTAAGAGTTTAGAAGCACTAAATTTAGCTCCCTATAAATATGTTTGCTTTTTTGAGAAAAATCTTTTCTCTCACCAGGAAGCATTGGAGTGATAGGACGATGGAACAAAAGTCTTATGAGCTTCTCTGGTTGTGTATTTATTTTTAAGCATATTCTTGCCTCTCAGAACCACTATCTGTTAGGCCAGTTTGTCATCCACAGCTATGCTGTGAAATAATTAATACTGTATCCTATTTTTAATTTAGCTTCTACTTGCTTTTGAGTCCAAATTCAGAAGCATATTCTCTTCGGACAGAAACAAGGAAGAAGTATTATTGCAGATGGAACTGGGACAGGCCCATAGTGTGGCAAACTGGTATGGGGACCAGGGAGGAAAATGCTAAATGAAAAATACTTTATTTTCATATAGCGCTAGACTACTGTTCTTCAACAGAAATGTAACAGCCACAAACATGACCCACATAGGTAATTTTAAATGTTCTAGTAACTCCACTAAAAAATGCAAAAAGAAATAGATGAATTAATTTTAAATACATTTATCTCAATGTGTCTAAAACATTGTTTTAGTAGGTAGTATCAAAATTACTGAGTTGCATTCCTCATTTTATTTTTTAGCGCTATTTGAAATCAAGTGTGCCTTTTGCACTTACAGCATGTCTCAATACAGGCTACCCATATTTCCAGTGCTCAGTAGCCACATGTAGTTAGTGGTTACTGGACTGAATAACATAGGTCTAGATTATTTCTAAAGATAATCATTCTATTTTTCATGTGATGCTCATAACAGATCTAAATGGTGCCAGGGCACATAGGCAGAGATGATTGCTTTTTCTTTTAGATGTATAAGGACTTCCTTGTTAATGCATTTGGGACCAAGCTAAGAAATGTTTGCCATAGAGCAAGAGGAGGAAGGATTGGCTTTAACAAGGAAAGAGGATACTCTGAGAGGAGACTCAAAACTTTGTGAGGTGGTCATGGCACATACTTGGTGAAGATTTATGGTTGGTATTTATGATCCAGGTTATCCAGATGGTATCTTTTATGAAAATAGATATGGGAAGTATAATTATATATCAGGAACAATATGGTATAATGGAATGAGTTCTAGATTAAAGGTTAGGAGAACTGGGCACTAGTCCAGGCATTGGTCTCCGTGGAAAGAAGTAAACTAAAATTTACCAATCCTGTTAGTACCCGTTTTCTTACCCAATTCTTATAATAAGACCAATAGGTAGGAATTAAAACCAATGCCAGTTAATAAAGGAAGAAATGGAGCCTAGAGAGGTAGTGTCCTGGTTTATACTGGTTTATTATAGATTTAGGATAAAATCTCTGTTCTAATTCCAAAGCTGCTATATTCTTAACATTATAACCTATATGCATGCCATATAGTAGGTTCTATTTTTACGAATTGGGGTTCATCTAAAGAAGCAGAACCAGGCATGCATGCATGTGTGCAGTAAATATTTGTTACAGGGAATTGGCTAATGCAGTTTTGAATGTTGGTTAAGCAGTCTCTATAAGGATGTCATCTCTACATGTGATGCTACAGCTTAAGTCCAGAGGGGAGGCAGGGATAAAGGGAAGATGGCGAACGTGCTGGAAGACACAGCACGAGCTGAACCCCATGAGATCAAATTGAACCCCATTTCCATCTTGTTGACTCCCCCCTTGGTCATAAAAAAATTCTGCTGAAGCTGGGGTTCTTCATTGTGGATTGAAGCACATATACCTGGCTCAGGGGTCCGAGAACCTAAAGGAGGATCCAGGGGAAAGTGGAGCACTTGCATGCCCAGTAGCTGCTTCGTAGCAGTGAGCTGTATCAGCTGATCAGCCAGTGGCTGGAGCTTCCTTTGATTTCTTTTCCCAAGAACCTTCCCTGTGGTGCACCCTGATGGGAAACACATAAGGGAATTCTGGGTAGTGACGTTCAGCCTATTCAAGTTGACATATAACAAAGCCATCACATAGGTACTCAGTGAGTATTTGTCAAATAAGTTAATGAATATTGTGCTGCTTCCCTTGGAAGTTCTTTGGAAACCAGAACACCTAATCCTGGTTCTGCCTCTTACATGCCAAGCCATTTGGAACAGGTCACTTAATCCTTTGAGTCTTGGTTTACTTGTCTATAAAACTCCAAGAGTAATTCCTGTTTTGCCCATTTAATAAAACTTTTACAGGGATCGGTTGAGAACTGAACGAAAAGCACTGTGAACATTGTAAAGGATAAAACAAATGTAGTATTATTTTAATTATGAATGTTGTTACTACTTGAGCTTCCTAATTGATCATATGGAGTAATAGTTCCTAAGAAATCCACCTTCTAGCTGTGCCAGGAAGATTAGACTGGAGTATGTAGAAGTACTGTCAGCTATGCCATAGCATGCACTTCGAAGGTGAGACTTGAGTTATCACTCAACACTGAGATATTTGCTCATAATGTTTTAGTTCTGGGCCAAGTGGCTTCGAGGGACAAGCATGTAATTGGTAACCTTGGGACATGGAAGATAGTGGCCATTTCTCAGGTGGGAGTTGTGGGCAGTGGATAAAGTTTCTGTCCTGTAAGTCTGGGCTTGAGTTTCATAGCAGCCAAACTTGCTCAGCAAAATGAAGAAATCCCTGCGGAAGTTCTTAGTGAAGATGGCATAGAGGAAGGGGTTGGCGCAGGAGTTGATGGGGTAGAATAGGACCAGGAGGATCTTTGACTTGGACACCGTGATGAGGGGCACCTTGAGGGAGGCAGAGATGGCAAAGAAGGAGATGGGTGCCATGCAGAGGAAGTCCGTGAAGATGAGCATGGCCATGCGTTTGGCGATCTTGGCCTCCTCACTAGAGGAGGACACAATGTTGGGGTTTCTCACTGTGAGGTAGATATGAGCATAGCAGCCACAGATGACCACAAAGGCCAGGACATTGAGCACCAGGAGAGACATAACATAGAGCTGTGACATGGGGCTGTCAATATCCATAGGCAGGCAGATGCTCACCTTCATGTAGCTGCTGATGCCAAAGATGGGAAAGAGAGCAACTGCAAAGGCAAAGATCCAGCCTAGCAGCATGACCCCGGCAGCATGGCGGAGCTGCACTTTGCATTCCAGCTGCATGGCGTGGGTGATGGTGTGCCATCTTTCCAGCGTTATGGCTGTCAGAGTGTAGACTGAGAGCTCACTGGCAAAGACTGTGAAAAAGCCAGCAGCATCACAGCCTGCTCCTGTCTGCCAGTCGATGGCATAGTTGTGGTACTGACTTTTGGTGTAGATATCAACTGAGGCTATGAGCAGCAAGTAGATTCCAATGCAGAGATCGGCAAAGGCCAGGTTGCACATAAGGAACCGGGGGACTGTGAGTTTGTATTGGCTGGTGGTCAGGGTCATCAGCACTACGATGTTCCCTGTGACGGCCAGGATGCTAATGAACCATATCAAGACTCTGAGAATGTCATACCCCATGATATCTTCACATGGATTGAATGCATCTGGCTTGGGGGAACAAGTCACATCAACCACTTCCTTGCATAAGTCATAGTCAAATTCACTGTACATCATGTCAAATCCTTTGGTGTAACTGGATTCCTCATCTTCTGCCAAAGAGACTCTCTGACCCCTAGCCTGAGTCATATCCTCGACTTCTTGCCTTAAAATAGATTTGTTGCAAATTGGGTGAAGCTCAGAGCTAGAAAAATACAAAAAAGAACAGAATCAACATCTTGCGTCCAGAATGGCAAATACATGACTGTTTTTGCACAGGGGAGAAATGATGGGGTTTCTTCCTGTTTTTTTTTTCCGCCTCCCCTCTTCTCACAGTCTGTCTGCCCTTGAGTCTAAGCTCAAGGGTTAATGCTGCTTACTGTAAATGAACAGAACAACTTGTGTATATTCCTAGAGTTGGATGGCCCGCTGGGGAAACCATCTAGCCACAACCTGAATGTGGGAGGAAGGCGCCTGGGACTAGCTAAGATTTGCTGTTAAGTGCAAATAATTTACAGACCTAATATCTACTCCACCCTTTGCCTTCCCCCTTTCTATTTAGCTATCTGTTAATATGCCTGAGTAGGGTATAAAGCTATTCCTCTACTCTCTACTCTAGTTGCTAGAAGATACAGACTGTTTCCTGACTGAAATGAGAACTTAGTTGCTTCTTTTATCTACTTAAAGCAGAGAAGCCGTTTGTGGTCAGTTCCCAACCAGCACCTCTCCCTGGCTCTCTGCTACTCAGGCTAGTGGGAGGTCTGTGATTTGCCTGAAATGTTATGGAGGGTCAAATTATTCTCTATTGACTCACGTTCCAGGAGCCACAGTAGGCTTCAGGTATATATGGGTCTGCAAGGTAAACCCGACCCTCTCATATTAAATAGTTACCTAGTAACTGCTGAGAGCAAATATAGGTTGCAAGGGGGTTGGGGTGGTTCTAACTCATTCTAAGATTATAATTTATTCCCTGGGGAACTGGCTCTTCTTGGGCTCACATTTTTGTCTTGGTTTTTCCTTTCAACCCAAATGTACAGGAGGCCTAGTCAACAAAATAGAGGTACTTGCAGAAGGGATTTGAATGAAAGCCAGAGGATAAACATTCTACCCATATGGGTGAATAGTGCAGGTAGAGATGGGGTAATCTGTTTTGAAGCAAAGGCTTAAGGAAAGGAGATGTTTTACACTGGGTCTCTTTTTGGATGGGAAAAAAAAATTTCACAAGATCCTCTACACTTCCTCCCACTTTCCCTCCCTGAGAAGCAAATTCACAGCAACGTTAAGTGACTTCATTGCTCTCAAACCCTAATATAATCTCATACAAGTAGGGAAGTAAGTATTAAGCCCTTGAAAGAATCCCCTATAAGGAGAGAGTAGCTGGGGGAGTGGAGGTTTCTTCGGAGATCTTCGAGAAAGGTGAGGCAAAGCTCAGATGGGTACAGGGAGGATAAAAGCAGGACTACAGTCCTTCACCTAACTTGTGACTCCTAAACACTGTCATCGGATTAGCACCAGCCCAATTCTAAGAACAGAAAGTAAGGGGGTACCTACAGATGACAATTCCATTTATTGAAACAAATCTGACTTAACCACCTAGAGACAGTCTTCACTTCCTGGGGCTTATGTTGGCTTCTGTGAAGATTCTTACTGTTGATAATGCTACTAACATATTTTAAATATTGATGCTTCCCTTTCCTGAAACAGAAATGACTCAACCACCTGAGTATAGAAAAGGTAAACAATGTATGTCTCTTAGAAAAGGATAGAAACAAAAATAGAAACGAGGGAAAGTAGTCTTGCCTTTGCAGTACCTTAGCAAACAATAAACATCATAAAGAGTTGGGAATTCAGTTTAAGGTCATCTTAAAAAACGGTGTTATTGGACCTTGATAAATCATTGAACGGGCTCTTGGGAAGTGTATAGCAGAGTGGCCCAGAGTCTGAGCTTTGGAAACAAAGCAGAGGGTTTGGACAGTTTGGTTGGTGTTGGTCAGGTTATTTACTATCTCTGAGCCTCTGTTTCTGCCTCTGTGAGGAGGGAATAAAAATATTATTGCTTTTGCGAGAATTATGAGATAAAGTTGCAACGAATCACAGAGCTGGGTGGTGAGAACGTAGCCAGTATGAGCAATACTAAGACAGATGACTGTGGTGACTTCCTGAGTTCATGTTGGGGTCCAGGCCCTGTATGAGAACTTAGATGTCTATGCCACAGTGCATCAGTTTAAAATCTAGTTGTGAAGAAAAGGCCTAAATAAAGCTAACATCAGAAAATGAACAAAGTAACATTGCCAGCTGAGTGCAGAACTCTGACAAAGGGCTATGTGGTTCAAGGACAGATCAGGTATGCAGTTAACAAGGTCTTTCAGTGAGACTCCAGGAGGGATATTGGCCAAAACCTCACAGTCACAAGGGCCTGATACTTACATCTTGGGCACTGTTGCCAAATGGGGATTGGAAGGACAATTGTATCATACAGTTTTAAACTTGAATCTCGTTACTAAACCATACCTACTACGGTATACAATGAAATGACACCATTAAAGAAAAAAAAAAAAACCCTACAGTTATCTTATGAATAGCATACTTATTTTATTTTGTGTTTGTGAGTAAGTGTGTTGAATACAGAGACTAAACGCCCACTGCAATTTTTGTTACTCTGTTTTGGCACCTCTTATTAGGAGAGGGGTGGGGCTCTCCTTTGCTGTGCCAGACAGGCCCTGTTGGTAAATTATAGTAGGGACCTAGAAAGGGTGAGAGCCAGGGAGTCTCGGAGCGGTATAAGACAGACCTGGAGATTGCTGGCTGGGAGGAACCCTGAAGCTGCATGTATGCTGCCTGGGGGTGGCAAGACCAGCAGAGGCTGAGCAGCAGTTAGGTAACCTATTCTGGGGTGTGTTAGCACTGGGCCAACTCTCACAGTGATCTTGACATCCTTGAGAGTTCTCCTGAAGGGTGTTGAGTTCCAGGGTTTTCTTAGTAAATCAGTATCTTTCTTGCCCCGGGCTGGAATAACTCTTGTCTGGAATATAAAAGAGGCAAACCTTGTGCCTCAGCCCAAGACTTACACATTCTGGTCAGCAGGAAGAAGTTCCCTGACTCTTGTGTTAATGTGTGAGGAGTGTCTGATTTTGGATAGTTCCTCCCTGAGGCATGGTATTTCTGAGAAGTTGCCCCTTTTCTTCAAATCCTTCAAATGGGTGTGAGTGTGGACTCCTAGTCACTTGGAAAACATTTTAGATAGATACCCTGTGTTGTTTTGTTTTTACTTTATCTTGCTTTTGAGCAGGGGTTAAGTCTACCTGGACAGGTGAAAGTCTGTTAAAGGTTGAACAGTAAATGAGACTATACCATGTGGTGCAATGATGTCATAGGAAAACTCTGTGACAAGGCATCATCTGAGTGTGAGTGTGTGGCATGGGTTGTGTCAGTGAGCTTGGGGAGGATGTGAGCTTTGAGAACTCCTGATACCCAGTAAATTCTATCTGCAATGGATCCTTTCAATGTCTGGAACCTTTATGTGCAATCTCCAAAATATTCCCTTTCCACTTTGTCTAGATCCTCTGTATGATTACCTCATCTTTTTTAACCAGTGGCCTCCTGGTTTTTGTCTCTGTCTGGTTTACCCTCTTTTTCTGGGCTTCTTCAAATTTGGCCAACCTTGAAAGCCAAAGTGAACAGATGTCCCAATCTTTGTCCTCCCTGTGAGGTGCTAATCTCCAAAGATGGACTGGGGCTTCCTGGAGGGGTTGTGCTGTATTGTGCATGTGTGCATCAGTTTCTGGTATGGCATTTAGGCTTCTCTCCTCCAAAGTTGACTTGGGTGGTTCCTGGGACATGTGCAGGTGGCAGAGTGTGGGATTAGAAGAATAAATCTGTATTGGTACTAAGGAGAGAGGGAATAAATAAATATTCATTAAGCATCAGCTGTGAATCAGGTGCTATGTTTGGAGTTTTTCATGTTGCCTCGTTTAATATTTGGAAGGTGATCTACCATTGTGGGTAGCCCTCTGTTGGGAGCCCATTTTGAAGAAAATTAGAAACCCTTCACAGTACTGAAGCTTTGATCTAGAATATGTCTAAGGGCTTTCGCTGGGGAGGTCTCTGCAAGTGGATTCTCTTCATGCCCAAGATACATAGAAGTTGTGGACCAAGTTCCACATCAGAGAAATGCCAGAGTGGGGCTCAGGGATGGACATGGGAAGACTTACATTTGACGTCTCCAGTTTGCAAAAGCGCAGCAGTGGCTAGGGTAGGTGAGGCTGGCCTCCATGAGTGCAACAAACATATCCAGACTGGGAAGCTTTTTCAAGTTGTATGTTGACCTGGCCCGCAGCTTCTTAAGATTTTCTAAGCCATAGCTGGGCAGGGAATGGATCCTAGTTCTTGAAATGTCTCTAGAAGGATAAAATGTAAATATAACATGATTATTATGGGCCTCTCTGATTAATTAACAGGCCTATCTGATTCCCAGATATACTCACATCCTGCCTGACCTGGGGCTTAACTTCAGCCATCTCCCGTCCTATAGTCTGTCTTGAAATGGACCTCTGTATATTAGTGGAGACCTGAGAGATTGAAGGCATTTCCTCCCCACCGTAAAGTCAGCTACAAAAATATTTGTGATGAGCTAGGGGTGGAATCTGCTGCCAAATTTCAGAAAAGGTCAAGAAAAAAAAAAAACATAGGGGCAGTAGATGTACCCTCAGCACGATGTGCAAGTGGCGACAGAGTGGTGAGTATGAGCACAGCCAGACTGGCTTGTATAAGTGCCCCACCCCTCTACCTATTAGGTCTTTGACCTTGGTAAAGTCATGTCATTTCTCCATGTCTGTTTCCTCAGCCATACAATAGGAATGATAACAATCCTAGCTTACTCAGAGGGTTGTTGGGACAATTAAATGAGTTAAAAGTACACAGGAAACTTCCTGGCCAGAAGACAGCACTTAATGACTGATGGCTATTCTTTAAACGTCTCTGTCTGACTGTGTCTCTGTCTCTGCCTGTGTTTCTGCCTCGAGTACACAGTTGTTCTTGCTTTGTAGGAGTCTCTGGGCAAATCAGCAGGGATCTCTGGATCCTGACCAACACCAGCTGAACTCAGATCCAAACCTTCTGCTTTGTTTCCAAAATAAAATATTTTGCTAAATAAAAAACAAAACCAAACAACAACAACAACAAACCCCACAAAGCCCTGGATGTGATGTGTGGGTCATTTGCCTGGTGTCTCTGACAACTGTTCTGTGTCCTTCTCTATGCTCTGCTTTGTACTTCAGAAGGGATGACCTCTGCAGGTTCCATTTCCCAGATAGCCCCTTGTCAGTCCGCTTTGGAGGGTTCAGCAAATGAAACTGGTGGGAGATTGGAGGCTAAGAGGAGGGGTAAAAGTTAAGGCATTTCTCATCTATCCTTTGCCTCAAGCAACAGTTCCTTTATGACTCCAACCGTCATTAGATCTGCTGAGGGTCCAGCTTCTACTCACTTGCTCCTCAAGTCCTGCCTTTAGTAGTAGTGGTTACCTACCAATACTAATGCCTTGACTGCTTATTCTCTGCTTGAAATTAGGCAGGTGTATGTTCAAGAGCTAATGATTACCTTTATGTAACACCTATGTATATTTCACTTAGTCCCTTCCTTGTTAGTGCTGACAAATTTGGTAAACTTGGCATCTGTCATTCAGGTACTTCTGTGCGCTTACTGGTTTATTTGTTTATTTATTATTATTATTATTGTTTTGCTTGTTCTATCACTGCTGAGAGAAGTGCATTAAAATCTCCAACTATAATTTTGGATTTGTATACTACTACTTTTAGTTTTGTCAGTTTTTGCTTTATATATTTATGGAAATGTTTTAGGTACGTACAAATTTAGGAATTTTAGATCTTCCTGGTGACTTGCTTGGTATCTGGTAATATTTGTCTGCTAATGCTTTGGATGTTTCTTCTTCCCTGGTTCCCCCCTGACTGCCAGCTGTTGGGAGTACCCCTGGGCTCAGAGCCTAGACTTCTTTCCTCTATTTTATACTTAATCTGTAGGTTTACTCACCTCATCTTACAGCTTAAACACCATTTATATGTTGTTGGATCACTTATATTTATCTCACCTATAAGTCTCTTCTCTCCTGAACTGTAGGCTCTTAAATTGGGCTGCCTCCTTAAAATCTCTGCTTGGATGTCTGATGGGAAGGCCAAACCTTGGGTATTAAAAATTGAGCTCCTGATTATCCCCCCAAACCTCCACTTGCGGCCTCTCCAATTGTTAATGCAAAAACCTGAAAGGCATGCTTGGCTCCTCTTTCACACCCCATATGCAAACCCTCAGCAGAACATCTTGGCTTTCCACATATGTCTGGAATGAACCACTTTTCACAACAGTCATTGCTATCACCATAGGGTAAAAGTTCTGGTGTTCCAAGGTGTCTTTTCTGGTTATCTCCGAAGTATTAGGATCCTTCAGAGATGAGGTCCCTGGAAATAAGAGTCTGATCCATGAATCTTTGTCCCTGTGCTAAGTCTCAACTTCCCACTTCTCAGTGATCCAGCTACACTGGCCTGCTCTCCACTTATACTCCCCATTGTTCTGGAGCTTCTCAACATCCTTCCCTGCCCTAGAAAATCTCTAGTTTCTGTCTTCACACCATTGTTCCACTGACCAGTTCTGCTATTGACATTTGCTCTGGTCTCTGTGTCCAAGTTCTTTTTTCATCTGGCTTTTCTCCCCCCTCAAGTGTGAAAGAAAGCAGACTGCCCGTTTTGTATAAAACAGTTCAAGGCTCCATCTGAGGAGTGAGATGAAGGTATAAAAAGTCCTTCAGGAACAATTGAAACCAGGGCAATCATTACCTGCCATGAACATTTTTCATATTTTTAAAAGCAAGCAATATAAAACAGGAGACTATTTTTTCTTAGTTATGTTCCCCCCCCCTTGAGTTCAGAATATATATAAAAAATCACATTAAGTGAAGATTTCTAAAAATAAATTTTTATATTCCATGCAGTGCTATGCTCTTATCTCATATACTGTGGTAGATTAAAGAGGACTGCAAATTCTTTACACTCTTCCCATGCAGGGTCTACTTGCCCTTCCCTTGAGTTCAGGCTGCACTGTGATGCCTTTGGACTATAATAGAGCATGATGAAAGTGTTGCTTTACCAGCTCTGGACCTTAACTTTCAGAGAGCTGACATCTTCTATATTGGTCTCACAGAGCCCTAAGCTGCCATGGAAAAACTCTGAAAGCCCCGAGACTGCCATGCTAAGAAAAATCCAAGCTGTGTGTAGAGGTCCTGGAGGATGAGATGCTGTGTGTGTGTGTGTGTGTGTGTGTGTGTGTGGAGGGAGGGAGGGAGAGTGGGTGGGTGGGGGGGAGAGAGAGGAGAAGGAGGGAGAAGTAGTGAGCACAGATACACGAGGCACGGGAGTGAAAGGGACCACTTGCACATAGACCACCCCAGCCACCTGAGCTGATATCACATGGATCAGAGACAAGCCACCCACATTTCTGAAACACACGATTATGAGCAAAATGGAATGATTGTTTTGAGCTGCTAAGTTTTAGGATAGTCTTTATGCCATAATAGAGATCCCAGACTCCCACCGAAGTCTCTGATTCTGTCATCTCCATCATTTTTAATAGTTGTAGAGGTATTTTTCCTTGAAAGCCATTAAGAGTGCAATAACATTATATTCTATATATTTTATGCCTTTCCCATCACTTACTAGCTTTTGTTTTATATACTAGCTCCTTGTATTTGCATTTTATCTCTCCTTGATGCTGGAGGACTCCTTGCATTCTCAGCAGTGCCTTTCACATAGTAAGCCCCCAGAAAATTGTTGCTTTGTTTGAAGAGAGTCTGGGGAGTGACACTGAACAAGGATATGGGAGATGAAGAGCTAGGTCACCCCAGCCAACTGTGATGTGTCCTGACTTCTGACAGTTTCAAAGGATCTCCCACTTTGTGTTATCTCTTCTATTGTTTCATACTGCTTGACTTTTCCTGTATCTTTGTTTTGTCTGCTCAGATTTCAGATGCTCTGAGAGCTGGGATTATTTACACACTTTGGTGTTATACTTGTATTGAGCACAGGGCGGGGCTCATGAAATCTACTCAGTAGATAGTCCTCTGATGAGCAGAGATGGTTCATTATTGGCATCAGAGTACATATAGAGGAGAGGCTGGAACAAGTCTCCCAGGAGAGCTAAAGGGAGAAGACTGCAAGGCAGACTGAGAGAGGAAATCTGGATTTCAAGGTTGGTCAGCAAAATGGTGCTTCTGCAGCAGGCTACTCTATGTAACTGAGAGTATCAAAGGCACCAAGTAAGGGAGCAACCTTGTGCAAAGTTTACAAGCAAATAGACGTGTATGAGAGAAGCAGCAGAGTAATGTGTTGGGTGGATTGACCTGAATACAGTCCAGTGCCTAGGTGTTAGACTGAGAAGCTTTGGTGCTTCTGCCTTCTCAGTGTTCTGGAGCTAGCTTGTATTTCAGATTGCTCCTATCACAGCTACGAAATACGTAAGCTGTTGTCTTTAGCACTAGGTGGCTTTGCTGCTCTGAGGCCAGGGCATCTTGTCAGAGTCCTGGGATCCAGATCTTCTGCTGGTGGATGTTGAAAGGAGAGAGTGGTTTGTAGGAGAGGGATGTAGAGTCACTTTCATGTCAGTAAAGCTGTCTTTGGCAAGGTGATTCCAGGGTGATAGGGAAATACGTCTTTGTAGAAGGGTTAACTTAGAGCTTGCTGGATACTTGCTGGAGTGAGTAAACATGGGACCTATCAAGACTTCCAAGTTTTGGACAGGCCGAAAAATGTTTCTGTTATTTCCATGGATTAAGATATCAGCAGGGACAAAGATTAGTGGATAGTGTTGAGTGTGGTTTGAGACTGAATTACAAATATTCCCACTTTTGCTCTCTGTTCCCCTAAAACTCTTTCTCTTTTTCCTGGCTACAATCTTTCTTCATGGACTGCAAGTCTAATGTTTGATTGCAGTTTCTCTGTAAAAGCACTTTCCATGCTTAGGACGCAAACGTCCACTGCGGGGGGGTGGAGGGGCGGTGGGGGGGGGAGGGGTAACAAAGTAAGACCTTGTCAGTTACTCACATCTTCATGAAAGTGGATTATTAAGACTGTTGGCTGAAAGTGGGCTTGGAGAGAGGTCCAGAGCACAAAGCATAGCCGATGAGGGGTTTTCAGAATGGTTATTCTGACCAAGGATATTTTGAGGAATAAATAAATGAGATTAGATCTTTGAGCCTGGAGAGCCAGGTAGAAGAGCCCAGAATTTATAATGAGCAGACTAACAACTCACTGAAAGCTGTGTTTTTGTAGGATGAGTCTATAGAACCCTGAGCCTGGCACATAGTAGGTGCCTGTAAATCCGTGTTAAGTGCATTGGAAGGAAAAAGGATTGAAGGTAGGAAGGGAATGGAGTGACTGTTGCAGGAAGTGAGGAATAAGCGCTCTGTTCCTCACACAGTCACTTCATCTGTTAAAGTCACTGTATCACATGACAAAGATTTATTGGGCATCTGCTCTGTTACTATAGCCTCCTGAGGAAAATTTCTGCAGAGCATATTGTTCTGGGCAATGACGTTTGTCCCTCGACCAGAATGAGCTACTTTAGGGCAGACACTGTTTATTTCTAAATCTCTCTATCCCTTACACCAGAACAGTACTGATGCACAGTAGATGCTCAGTCAACATGGACTAAATGTAGGACATGCATGAGCCAATGTGCTCAGGGAATGGCTGAGAAGGTTTATCACAGATGCGGTTCCTTGGGCTGGTGGGCTGGACAAGCGGGGAGGGCTAGTCGTGGGCTGCTGTTTTTAATCCTTGTCTTTCAGGCTGGTCTAATGACTGCAGTCTTTCTTTTTTTAAGACGTCATTTGGTTAACATTTCAGCACATGCTGTATTTGGCAGTGACTGGTTTGGAGAATTTAAATCCTGAAAAGTACTAACAGGAGACATAATGGGATGATAGCTGGTAATCCTAAATTGTTTCAACATTGTTAGGATTCCTGTTTTTGAGACACAAAGTGAAAAGGGAGATAGCTGTCAGAAATAAGGCACTGAGTCAGGAGAGGCAGGAGTTAAATTGCACTCTGTGCCCCATTTAATAAAGTGTGGTATAGCCAGTGCCACAAATTTGATTTGAACAATTTCTATTTTTCTAGCAAAGATGTTATTACAGGTCAATCATTTCCATAAGTGAGAGCACATTTCTGGTGTATACTACACTGACAGATGGCTAGAAGACCTCTCTTTCATGATCCCAGGCGGAATAAAAAGGCAATTTACTATCTATAGGACTGTGGGTACACTGGTAATGGAAGAGAATCATTCTTATACAAATAACTCAGTGTTTGAATCTGAACTATCAAATGAATCTGAGCTATAGCCAAATCAATTTGATAAACCATCAGAATATGATTGTACTAGCTCCAGCCTGCAAAGGCAATGCATTAAATTTTCCCCATAGGAAACAGCTTCCCAAGGAAACAGCAATTGCTTGATTGCTTAATGCACACAAACACACCCCAAAACTTGAGTGACTTTAGAATATCAGGTGAGAACTGAGCTGGCCACTGATGTTCAAGGCCAAGACTCTGGAGGGGAAAACGAAGGTGCTAGCCTTCTCCTTTGAAACTCAGAGGCATGTGCATGTATGCCCCTGACTTTCTCCACATCTGTTTCTTTTTGCAGGGGAACATCTCACCCTCACACCCTTTGGTGTTCAGAGGTTCTGTTTTTCACTCATCTAAAATTTTTTCCTTCGTTAAAGGAGTTACCATTGGTTTGGGCACCTTTCACTTCACTCTCTTGGAATCCTTTGCATGCACGTACTGGGGACAAAGGGCTGAGCTTGTTGGGGAGGAAGATTCCCCCTAGTTAGTTTGTGGAGGAGCTACCCTGGAGACAGGGCAAAGCTTCCCAGTTTCCAGCCTTGGTTCTAGTGTAGTGATCCTCGGTGAACTTTCTGGACCAGCAACAGCAGCTTTATCGACGCAAATTATTAGAGTTGGAGCTTCTCAGGCCCACTTCTGACCTGATGAGTATGACTCTGGGGGGTAGGGATCCACATTCCAGGGTTTTATAAGCATGACTGGTGATTGTGATGCATAATCAAGCTTGGAACCACTCCCAGCTGAGCTGCTCTTAGCTGAGCTTTCCTCTGGAATTGACTTCTGACTTGGCCACGATTTGCCTCCTCCCCAGGGACAGTCAGCATCATGTGATTGTTGAGGAGGGGGACTGTCCCCTTAATTCAGTACAATTTTGAAGGGCCATCTTAATTGCACAGCTCCCATGGGATTAGCTGGGGCTTCTGTTGCAAATGCATTGCAGTTTGACTTTCTTTTTAGCCTGATTCTACTCCCAGCAGGTACTTCTCACATACTCCAGTAGTATTCCCCAGTCAACCTCCTGCATGCAAACATCCATATAACAGGCTTATTTGGGGGAACGGGAATCTGCCCCAATGCACAAAGTGTTAGCCCGAACATCTACTGTGCAAAGCAATCTTCACAGTCTGCCCTCCTCCTACTCATCAACCCATAGCACCTGGGGTGGGCTCCTTCTCTGCACACACCTCAGCAAGGAGATCTCAGGTCAGGGTTTGGCTGGGGTTGGCACATCAGATTGTAGGAGTAAGAGATGGAAGAGGCCATAGAATCCTAGCCGAGCAAACAGACTGGAAGAACATCGGCAGACTAACCCGAAAGCCCCAGAAAGAAGGGAGGCTCGTGTTGAGGTGATCAATCCTCTTGGCCCTTGGGAGAGGAGGAGACTAGCAATCACAGGCTGGGCTTTTGGCCAGGCTCTTGCACATATATCCTCATGCATTGTAATGAAAATATGTGGGAATGTATTACCACCCTCTACCCTTTTAAGTCATGGCAAGTGCTTCATAATTCCTTTTTCTGTAAATTTTCTGTAAATGTTATTCACTTCATTCTGGCCAGATCTGTTCCTGTGGTAAAGGGTTGAAAAATGCACCCGTAACTTGAGGACCCTGTGAGCTGCTTGTGATAGTGACCTCCCTCTTCCTGCTGGCATACGTGGCAGGACCAGCTGAGGCATTCATGTCTGTGTTCTCCATTAGATGCTCAGATGAACACGTGGTGCCATGCCTCCACCTGGGACCTGCTTATGCTCCTGTAGGAGATGTGCTTGTGTGCTGTGTCTCCTTATCATTTACTGGTGTACTTAGGCTGGGAGTCTGGGGCTTACAATTATTTCCCCCCCATCTTTTAGTTTGCAGACAACTGTGTAACATTAAGATGTTTGATTAGACATATTTATGTGCTTTAGACAATATGATATAGTGGGAATCCGTGGAATGTAAGGCAAAAGACCCATTCTTGGTCCAAGCTCTGCTACTTACAGTTGCAGTCTGATGTCCATCAGGTCCCTTTAAAATTCTGATTTTGGGTTCCTGGATAATGAGCTAGTTGAGGATCTAGTTCAACTCGCATGTTCTTGGTAGCAGAGTGGGTTAAGGAGCTATGCTTTAATAGTATACTCAGTACAAGTAACAAAGGGAAAGCTGTCCCCTCACAGATGACGTTTTGCCATAACAGACAGAGGTGCCTTTTTAGGAACATTCAAAATCCTTAGGACTCTCAGATAAGGGAAACAGACAAACTGCTCTTGTGGTCAGAGACATGAACAGCTCTGTCTCGAAGTCTGTTTGTCTAAGTCCTTGGTATATTAGAGCACATGGACCATATGCCTGGCACTCTCTATTATGCCTGGGAACTACCTGGTTCTTCATAGCGCACATCATGACCTGTTGTATTAATGTGTATATTTAGTAATTGTCTGACTGTCTTAGGAGAATACTTTCTGTGAGGAGACCAAGGCTTAGGGAGGTGAAGGAATGGTCTTAAATCAAGGTAGTCTGCTCTGGCTTCTCTGCTTTAATCATGCTGACACTTCCTTCTTTTGCATATATTGTCCATCTGAAGGCAGGCATACTAGAATAATCATTGTACTTTTCAAAGAGGCAGAATCCTGTCTATGGGTCAAACATGTTCTATCATCAATAGTAACCATTGGTGGAGTTTCTTCTCTACCATACAGGGTGCGTCTAGTTCTAGAGATACATTATGTTCCAACCTGAAGGAGAAGATAAACTTTTGAGTGAAAAGGAAAAGTGATGTTGACAGATAGGAGGGAAGGAGAGAGGGAACCACATCTGGGAGCCTATATTGATTGCCAAATACAAGGTGGAGGCCAGTGGCTCTCAAATGCCTCAACTGACCTTGGGCAGACCATGGATGGATCATCTACTAAAACTTGATTTTTTTCCCCGTATGTCTATTTCTGTACTCACTAATTCTTATATCTAACTTCTTCCTTCTTGATTCCTTTCTTCCTGCAGTACATTTCATCAGTAGATAGAGTAGGCCTTGCTGAGAGCCCAGGAAAACACATTTTAAAAAAACTCTTGGAGAGTGGGGTCCCTGTCACCATGAAGGCTATAGAAGTTACAGGAGGAAGAATTCTCTGTTGGCTAAGGTGGTCAGGGAGGTGGTGGCAGCTGGCCTGACCCTAGTAGAAGGTCAGAGGCCCATGAGAAGAGAATGGGAGACAGAGATGAGGAAGCAGCACCGGAGGGAGGGGTGCTGCTGCAGGGCTGTGGGGCACTGAATGGATCCCAGGAGATTTGAATCGAGGCAAAGAGGATCCAAAAATAAGTGTGTTTGGGGATCTCTCAGGGGAACATACTCCTGGACATTGAAGGTGAAGAAGGAGACCTGTACTTTCCCTTCCAGGGGAGAAAGGTATGGCAGAGTGGTTAAGAACCTGTGCTTTGAGTCAGACCAGTTTGGTGTTAAATATATGCTCCCAAATTTGCATGACTTGGGATGAGTTAGTTAACATCCCTCCATGGAAGGCAGTTTTTCCTTCTCTACAATGGGAACAATATCTCCTACCACAGAGGTTTTATGAGAATTAAATTAGAAATGCCTCTTAAGCTTTTAAAACACTGCCTGGGACTTGATTAGTGCTCATTAAATATTAGTTGCCGTTATGTTATTGAAAGTCAGGATATAGATCAGCCTGAAATTGTCCCTGGAAGTCTTTGTAGATGACGCAGGTCAAGACTGACCTTAATTGCCAACCCTATATGGGAAGCTTCTTTGAATTGGAGAAAGTTGACCTCTGACTTGGACATGTTAATTTCTAGCACATGGAAACAGGGGAAGCTACTTACAGAATGACTGGTCCAGAGGCTCCATGGAAAACATCATTAGGCAATTCTTCCAAATTATTGTTATCACTTAGATTCCTGGGGATGGAGTTAAGGAGAGAAGAAGGGAGACAAAAAGCCACATAAATATCACTGTTGTAAGAGCCATTTCCCTCTAAATGGCCTGGAAGAGTAGGCAGGGCTACTTACAGCTCATCTAGTTGGGTTCCATTGAATGCGCAGTTGTGTATTTCTTGAATGCCATTCTTATTCAGCCATCTGAAATAAAAGGCCCATTAAAAAAACAATAATGTCAGATGCAAACAATACAGGGGTTTCATAATTGGAAGCACTGGGGCAAGGTCAGACATTGCAGGTTATTGGCATAAATAAAATGCCACCCATAAGGTTCAGGGACAGGAGTGGGAGGGAGGCTGATTTATCACCGTGTGACCTCATTTGATGTTTGAAGTTTGCATTATGTGCGTGTATTACGTATCCAGAGGGGAAAAATTCGTTTTGAAAGGGCACACTTAGGCCTACCACCTGGATCCTATATGGTCTTCGTGCACATCGTTAGTGCGTAGAGATGGTAACCTGGGGGCATGAGACAAAGATCTTTCCCATCCTGAAGGACCAAAATCATGCAATTATTGGACAAGTGTTTATAAGACAAAGAACATTTTATATCCTCTTTCTCTAAGGCCTTAAGCTTCTCACCCATGCTCACCCAGAGCAGCAGGCCTGCTTGTCATCAAAAGGTGATCTAATTAAGCTGTCGGACAACCTGAACATCTCCTGTGACCCACAGGGACCTGGTTATTGGAGGTTTGTGGAGGTGGCTCTGGGTTAAGCCAGAAAGGAAGAGAAATCAATTACGGAGACTGTGGGCTGTGGCAGGGCGCAGTAGTGTGAGTGCGAACAGGAGGGGCCTCTGCGGTTGATGGGGGCTGGATGTGGAACCGTCAGCCTGATTGTGCAAAGGACAGTGAGCAGGTTAGGGGAGACCAAGGACACCTTGGGCGGACAGCTCCGCACTGCTGTGCTCCTGGATGGATCTGAAAACAAAAACAAAATCCAAGGTCGGGAGAGCTTAGCCCGAATAGCCTTTGACCACCTGCTCTTGATTTGCTGTCAGGTTCTTTTCCTTGTCAGGCTCAGTGGGTTTACAAATAACAGTGTTTGAAAAGCTGACCCTGAGAGGCTGCAGCATATTTCCTGGCTTGCCGTGGGTAGCTAGAAACACTTACAATCACAGGGCAGCAACCATATGTTTTTTTTTCTTCCTCCTGAAAACCAGTTTACATAAAGAGATCCAGACAGGAACAAGGTAAATCTTTCTAAAACATCAGCAGCCAGTTGGTGGGTTCTGATGGCAAAGAGTCGCTGTGCACCTCTGCTCCCACCTACCTTGCAACTACCTGCCTGGACCCCAGCTATCCCTCCTGCTCATGGCTTTGTCAGCCTGTCCCTGGTAGTGAGTTGGTGTGACAGCTGCCCCTAACCTGTGGGATATAGTTTTCTGGGATTTTCAGTCAACCACAGGGATTGGCAAACTTCTCCATAAAAGGCCAGAAAAGCCATTTTAGGTTTCGTGGGCCAAGAGACAGAATGGAGAATACTACATAGGTATTTTATATAAGTATGTGTGAAGCAATGTTGACAAAGGTTTTGACCAAACTTAAAATAGAATACTGATTTTTTAAATAATGTCTATGGAAAAGCATGGATTTTTTCTTTTTTTTTCTGGGCAGGATACCATCTTGCTTAATTAGGTTCAGTGTCCGTGTTCCCTGTCATCAAAATTTTCACTTGTACAAAGCAGTACTAGTTCATGGGCTGGATTTGCCTGACCCTTCATCTAACACAAAGGCGTGGGTAAATCTGGGTGGGCTCCACCTATGTTTCTGTAGACTAGATTTTTCTGTACATAAATTTCCTGAAAATAGATCTTGCTATGATGAAATAATATACAGAGGGATTTAGAAGAATTCCTATATTTGAAGTAGACTTTTGTCTTCATGGATCCTTCTCAAACAACAGACACCATCCTACAGGGAGGGGTGGAAGTTTTTGATGTCAGCAGTGGATCATTACACACACACGAATGATGTCCAGAACTCCGGCCTTGGGGTTTACATTAGGCTGTAGCACTCAAGCTACTATCAGAGAGAAGCTGACATTTATTATGTACACTCTTAGTCTCTTAAGACATATAGTGCTGGTTCTAAAGCCTGATGATGATGACGACAGCCACAGTGACAAGGACAAACTGGGCAAACCATCAGCTAAAGCATAACTGGATCATGGTTTTCTTTCATCTTTATGTGTTTGTGGCCTCAGTAGAGGCTCGGGAGGCTCCAGAAGCAGAATCCGCTCTCAGCCTAAAGAGGCAGGGGATAGGGAGGACCCGGCCTCTTAAAGCTCACTGGGGCAGGCAAGTGAGATGGAACCCAACTAAGAAAAGGAGGAAATGTACATGGAGTGAGCCTCTCCTATGGCTGGGACATGGTGGGAACTGATATACTTAAAAGCTCATTTTATTTTTTTCTGAATTGAGGCTGTTCTTTTGGTTGGTCATAGCTAGTTTTTCCCCTATTCAGACCCTGTGGTTGCAGGGCGGGGGTGGGAAAGGGCTCAGATGGGGTGGGAAATGGTGGACCTTTATTGCTCATTTTCCTCTGAGTCACTAGCCCAGTATCTGATAATCCATTATTATTATATATATAAAATATTTTTTAGAGCAGGGACTTAAGATTTTGAAAAGTACCAATGCACAGAAAAATCTTTCGGTCCTCTGTGCCATTTAGCCATGCTGCTTTTTCTGAGCATACTTGGGTGTTCCTAGTGGGAAAAGATGCCCCTGCATCCAGATGGGTCACCCCAACTAAGAACACCTGGAGTCTTAAACTGTCTTCAGGGATTTTCTGATTCCATTATCTATAGATTAAGGACCATCTGAGGTCAAGAAAAATAGATTTTGTTCTCACAAAAGCGAATTTATCCTTCAGAGACGGGTCTGAGAAGTATTGACTGTTAAGAAAGCTCTCCTCTCTGGGAGAGTGTGTTCTAAATTCTGGGGGGCCGCGTAGTGTCCATGAACACAAGCCCGAGAAGAACAGCCACGATTTGCACATTTCCTTGGTAGGTTTGGGTTTGTGAAGCTGTGTCCTAAGTTCTTATTTCCTCAGGTCCTTTGTCTTCACCCGGGGAGAGGTAAGGCCTCTTTAGATCAGGATCCTTGCCCTCTTGTGATTTTGTCTTATGATCTGGACAAAAAGAATGTGTGTCAAAGTAGAAAACTGTGAGGATATCGGCAGACTCCTACTTAATGATGTATTTTTATAAAATATTCTGTTAATAGATTTGCCACATGATAACATGAAGTAACTTAGAATCACTATATTTAAAGATATTTAGAGCAAGATTTAAAGATGCACAGGATGTCTAGGTACACCTGATGGCATTTATTACTAGTCTCCTTCCATAATGTAGCCTGGCAATCCATACACTGTCATTCGTGCTCTAACCTGGCGGGCTAATGTTACTCTTTCCCCCAAACTCTTTCTCCCCCCACTATTTTTTTTTTTTTAACCTCCATAAACTTGATGATTGTTTCCTCTCCTTGCCTTTTGCCTGGCTATATCCCATTTATCTGTTAAAGCCCCATCTTAGACACAACCTTCTTTCTCAGCCATCTTTCCCTTCTTTAACTGTTCCTTCAACCCTCATGTTACAGGCCAGTCAAAGTAAATTATTCCTTCTGTCCTCTTAGGATAATTGCCTTTATTTTGTACACTTTTCATTCTGTTTATATTTTAATTCATTTCTTTTGTTTTCCCCTTCTTTCATATTTCCCATACCCCATTGACTCATTCTAATACAGGTGCACATAAATTCTGAATATCATGAGTGTATTAAAGAGAAGGATTAGGTATTAGTTAAAATTTTTGTCCTAATACTATGTACTCGGAATACATGCCTTTGATTTAAAATTTTTTTTTCCTTCATACTTGCATTGCCTCTGCTAGTCTCTTTGAAACCTTTCCTATTGTTGTCTCTAATTAATTTACATTAAATGCTGTGCTTAGCTTTAATCTTCAGCATGTCCTCATCTCTACTGTTTTCTCCTCCCTCCCTCTTTTCTTTTTTGTACCGCTGGGTAGTCTCTGAACCATGTTACTGCTTTGAAAATGACTGAAATTCTTCCTTGGCTGGAACTTACCTTTTTATGTAATGGCATATTTTAAATACACACACTGGTATATTTTTCAAAAAATGCAACAGTTTGTGAACTGGAAGGATAAAATGCTTTTCCTAAAGATGTAATGGTGGTTACCAGTTTCCCAAATGCCATTCTGTTTCTCTAACTTTGTAGACCCTGCCAATACCTGGGTAGCCCCAAGCTTTCTCTTTCTTAGCCATCTTGGGCAGTGGATGAACTGCCACACAGGCTACTAGCATGAATGATGATGAAGTAGTCCATTATTGGCACAGAGTGCATTTAAAAACATTCCCCAAAGTAAGAGGGACTAACTCAAGCTCATTAAAAAATGTGATTGTTCCAAGAAAAAGAGAAGTCATCTTATGCCCAGCATGGGGTTGAACAGGAGCTGCTTGGCATGGTTACGAGGGAATATCTTCCGAATTCTGCCTCCTCCTTGGTCTTTTTCTTTGGGCAACAAAAGCCTTGCCAGGCAATAACTAGCTTTATTGATGCATGAGTTATTCTGTCCTTCAGAACAGATGTTGCATCGCAGGAGACCATCATTCAAAGAGCAATTTTAAATATTTGAATCGCACCACAGAATCATAAATTATTAACATGACTCCATGTTGTGATTCTGAAAAGTAAAGATGGGGAATGAGAGAAAAATACTGAAGCAGAGAGAAATTTAAATGGTGTAATGCCAAAGTTACCCAAACACAAAAGGAGCATCCTGTTATGAGAGATGATTAAATCAGAAACCAAATGTTACTCCATTGGAGTTTTTTCTTTACTTACAAAATCATACTTTCATAACTCAGTCCCATGAAAGCATTTCTTTCAACTGTGTGGATGTTGATATTATCTTGAATGTCTCTAGAAGAAAGTACAGATATATTAGGTCTTTATGCCAGCTCCACTCCTATAACCTCCACACACTTAGCTTCCTGGGCAAGATATGGTCTTTAGCTGAGGCAGTGTTGGAACGGTTAGTGTTCTGAAAGATGATGAGTTCAAAGTTAGGGAAATAAATGACATTGAGTTTATCTTCAGTATATCCGTTCCTAAAAATGAAATTGCTGACAGTTTCTCCTCTTCTCTTGTGTCTGGACATTTTCGTAGCTAATTCCACCGTGTTAAGATTCTGATACATTCCTTTATTATCCTTGCCTGCTCACTGTGACAAAGCCAATAACACTGACCTTTTACCTACATATGGAACTTTTCCATTCATTGTACTTGGACCTTCAGCTTCCTCCCACTTCAGTCCCCCTCTTCCAGCCAGTTTACTTCCTTCTGTTCCCCTTGGGTCACAGAAAAGTTGTATCATTGATTTTTCTCTTCCTGAATGAAGGGATGGAGAAAATCTTTTTTTTTTTTTTTTTTTTTTTTTAATTTTTTTTAGATTATGTCCCTCATGCTCCCATCAAGCTTCCCTGTGGTCAGATTTAACAAATACACTGTATATAGGAATAGTAAACTGCCTAGAACAATTTGAGAAATGTTGAGAGATCTTTTTCTCTCCCTCCCCCTCTCTCCTTTCTTCCCCCTTTCCTTAGCTTTCTATACTCCTTCCTTACCATTTCCTTTTGGGTCTGTCCAGATTCTTACAATCTCACTATTGAAAGTAAACTTGGCATTACACACTGCCTTTTTTCCTCCTCTTTGAAAATGCAGATGTCTTGAGAAAAGGCAAATAGATTGTCTTGCTAACAGTGTGAACTTGTCAGCTGGTTTCTTTATGCCCAGGGTAGTATGAGAATTCAGGAGGAAGAGGCGAGGGTGGTGCAAGTCTGGGATGAGGGGTGTAGTTGTAGGAGGGAGGTATATAAAGCACTGAGTGGTGAAGAAAGGAGACCCCTCTGTTGATAATGGTCTTTTTGAGGAGGCTGCTGTCTGCAAACTGAGCTTAGCTGGCTTTCCGGTAAAACCCAAGGATCCTTCCTGTTTGCCTTCCTTCCTCCTCTGCTTACCCAGAGTGACCTACTTGGAGGATCTACATCAAACAATGTATATTACAGGCCCTGAGGCCATTGGGCAAGACATATACTGAGTAGGTCAACTCTCAAGGAAAAACTTACAGTAGAACCTTTTGGAGAGATTGAATCTTGTGAACAGCTGGCAAGTGCTTAATACCTGTGTTGGATATTAACCTGGAGAGAGAGAAAATTAAAATGAGGAAAAAATGATCTTGGCTATCTTAACAATTGCTATGGTATACTGATTCCTTAGAGAAAAGAAACTTACATTTCAGACACAATGCACAAAACTTTTTTTTCTTTCTTTCTTTTTTTTTTTTTTTTAAGATATGGTGGGTATTAAGGGCGCGTATTGCATGGTGCATAAACAATGAATCTTGGAACACTGGGGAAAAAAAAAAAGATAACATGTTCCAAAAGTGAAATGTGACTAGATAACAAAATGTTCCTAAATTATCGCTTGTTCCCTGCCTTCTCATAGTCTGGAAAACTGCCCCTTCCCCAATCCAAGTGATTCTGTTGAGATTCGAGCATGGGGTTCCATGAGCTCTGACCCCAGAATATGCATGTAACCTAATTCTGGTGAATTAGACTGTCTCCTGGGAAGTGGTTGGAAGTTGGTTAGAGCTGAGTCCATTGATGCCATCATCCTTAGGAGATAGTACATAAATTTCTATAGCTGAAATGTCCAGAGCTATAATGGATCCTTCCCCAGGTCTGCTTATCTTCATCTGGGTTCCCCAGGAAGCAGAGACTGAGATGAAGCCCAGCCTGTAGATGGTATCTTTGATAATGAGTTTAGAGAGTTTGTGACCTTAGTAATGAAACGGGGAAGAAATTTATCAATACAAAGATAAGTTGTTGAGTTGGTCACTGTGACTGGTTACTGGTCCTTAATGCCAAAGACTTGATTTAGGAGGCTATCAAAATGGATCTCAGAACTGTTGCTCTAAATGGGAAAGAAGAGGAAACATTCATTCATGGACTACTATTTCTATTGGTCAGATGTGTCCCCATGGGGTTAACTCCCTACTTACGGCTTATGTGCTGCATGAGTGCCCAGTGAGGAGACCCAGCACAGGAAATGAGAGGTCTGCAAGGTTGGGCCAGGTGATGTCCAGTTGCACCTGTCTTCAGCTGATTGAAATTTGCTGCCACAGCAATGGTGAAGATTTTCAAGGCACATGAGAGTTTCCCTCTAGTGAGTTATTCAGAATCCTAATAACTCCTCACAACCATTTTTCTTCTCTATGTGGCTTACTCAAGCCAGAGTTGGTCTTGATCACTTGCAATCTAAAGAATGTTCCATGGTACAAGTGAACAATGTGAAGGTTCATGTGTCCTTTTGGGTTTATGACTCTAGAGTAGACTGTGCTATCTTTGCTTCTATATTCAGAGTCCGTGAATTCTGCCTTTGGCTTCTCTAATGGTTCTCAGATTTTGTTCCCTCTTGGTTCTCAATGATCCACATAGAATCCATCTTGGTCAATTCTTTTGATTACTCAGCAGCCCTTGATTTTGTCCTCCTCTGTTTTGATCAGTTCTGTTCCTATAATTTTGCCTCTTCCAAAATGTAACAGCAATGCAATTATGTATTATGCAACTTCTTGAATCTGACTGCTTTCACACAGTTTAATGCATTTGACAGTCTTCCATCATGTTATATGTATCAATAGTTCATTGTTTTTTTATTGCTGAGCGGTATTCCATTGTATGGATGCACCAGAGCAGACCCATTCACCAACTGAAGGACATGTAGTTTGTTAACCATTTTTTTAATAATTTAAAAAACTGCTTTAAACATTTGTGGTGGTGATGGTGGTGTGTAAGCATGTGTACATGCATGTGTGTGTGCATATGAGAAGAAGAGAGAGAACATTTTTTTATCTTGTGTGAATACCTATGAGTAGGATTGCTGGGTTGTATGGCAAATGTATGTTTAACTTTATTAGAAAGTGCTGAACTGTTTTCCAAAGTGGCTGCACCATTATGCATTGCCATCAGCAATGTATGAGTGTTCTAGTTGATTCACATCCCTGGTTATGTAAAAAAAAAAAACTCTTTGAATATAAAAGTAATACATGTTTATTGTCAGAATTATAGAAAGTATGGGAATATTTACAGAAGAAAGTAAAATCACCTTTAGTTTGTCTACCCAGATACGGTTTCTGCTAATACTGGGGGTTTGATGTTTCTACCAAAACAAATGGCTTTCATAGTTGCTTTCCAAATCTCTGAGATTCTACTCATTCTAAACAGAAACATTGCCATAAATAAGTATATACTAGCTTGACACAGTCCTATTGCCCATTTGTTATTTAATCATATCCAGTCTTCTGCTATTTTTAGATCTCTTCTCGTGTGTCTAAATACTATTCCCTTAATGAGATACCAAAGCAAGGACCATATTTAATATTCTCTGACAATCTATACGACTATGTTCAGATTTTGAATGTAGTATATGAACATAAAATATTGAGTTAATTGGTTGATGTTTCTAAAACATTGCTTGAATCTGTCACCAAGAAAAAATAAAAATTATTCAGTTAATTTATTTGTCTAGTGTCACTGCTACCTAGAGTAATTAATCTTAAACTGACACAGGGAAGTCTTGAGGCCAGGAATCTGTAGAACCTATGTGCCAACTCTGTCATGAACTAGACATAATGTGTTTCATCTCTCTAGCCTGGAAAAGATGTGGAGTGCATGAATATCAAGGTAGACATTCTATCAGACACCTTTGTGCTCTGCTTCACATCCTCTTGGTCCATCTTTTACTCTAGCTGTTACCATAGCAACTAGTTACATACAGACTTAACTTGGCAAATACTGGTTGGAATTACACTGATTGTCTCATTTTCTGCCTTGGACTTCTCTGCCACATCTGAGTGGGGTGCTCAAATGAATCTGCTCTACCATTCAGAGGCATGTACAAATCAGGCAGTGCAAGGAGTTTAAGACACCATAGGGTGACTTTTGACTAGTGATCAACTCCTCTCTTCCATTCTTTGGGTGAAGAATTCTGAATATATCCTAAATGACACTTAAGAGAGACTCTAGCATGATTGGACCCCATTTACTGGTGGTGGTGAGCTGATGATAAATTCCTGAGGTGGCTCTCCCTCTTTGTTTTCTTCTCTTTAGTCATTCAACCGCTTTCTCTGGGTTGGAGTATAAAAATAAATTACTCCCATGTAAGTCCTTCCTCAGACATGTTTTAGAGTGCCTAGGCTAAGACAAATACCAGCTTGTACTGAATCTTGCATTTATATAGATTCCCTGATGGTTGCTATTACCCTTTACTCTGCAAACCTGTCTTCAGTTGCAGCCTGGCCTGCTCTGTTTCTCTTTCTTCCCTTACTGTAAAGTTTCTAGAAAGAGCTGTCTGTATCTGTTGTCTTCATTTTCTTCTATCCCATTCCCCTCAGCTTCCTTCCAAGTTTCTTCATGGAATGTCTCTCCACCAAAACTACTTTGTTATGTGCCAAATGCACCAATCCATAACCAATAAATCTAATGAGCAATTTAAATTCTTTTTTAAACATCTTTTAGAATTCAGTACTTTTCCCCTTTCCTGTTAGTTTCTGTCATTTTGCACTCTTCTGTTGTTTCTCTTACTCCTTTTTATTTTCTTTTTGCCCCCCCCCCCCTTTACTCCAAGCCTTTTGCCTTTTTTCTTTATAATCTTGCTGGGAAGATCTCCTTTCCCATTGCTTTAAGCACTACCAGTATGTTGACGACTCTTAGGTTCATACTTGACTTCTGACTGCTCTAGTCTATCTCTAATTAAGAGTTTCTTTATATATTCTTCTGAATGCATAGCAAACTGCATTTTTTTCCCTCTTCACTTCTACCAAACTGTTCCTCCTCAGTTCTTCCTCATAAATAGCACTACCATCTATCAATTGTGTGTTACAAATGTGACAGTTAAACTTGGCTTCTTCATCCTCACTCCCCAATATCAATACACCTCAAAATCCTCTTTGACTCCATTTTCAAAAGATTTCCCCATTCCGCACAATTTCTTCCAACACTACTGATGCCATTATAAAATTTGCACTTCTTATTCTTCAGACCCCATCTCATGCCATCTTCCCCCTGCCCTATAGCATCTGTGGCTCTCACTCATTGCCTCAGATACACTAAATTGGCATTCGCACATGCTTTATAAGGAAGGCTTACCACCCACACCTTGCTTGGTCCCTCTCAACCGATGCTTCAGGGGTCAGCTGCAAATGTCATTTTTTCAGTGAAGAACTCCCCAACTGCCATTTTAAATTAAGGCCTCTGATTTATTCCCAGTATAATCATGTCTTTTTTAGCATTTTTTCTTTTTAGCACCCATCAAAATTCTAAAGTATACACTTTGTGTTTATTCAGTATCAGTTTCTTCAACTAGATTGTGAGTGGCATGAGTGCAAAAATCATGTTTTTCCTGAAAATTCAGTGTTGGCACAGTGGTTGGCACATATAATATGCTTGATGTTATTCAGGCCAAGCAATGTGCTATGTGCTATTTAGAGATGAGCGTAGAAAAGAAATCATTCACTACCTGTGTTCATCACACCTGATGGATTTGACATAATATAGATAGTAACCTGACTCTCTCTCTCTTAATGAATGATTATGACTTTTACAACATTGAAAGAGGGAAGTTTTTTGACTGTCAATGAGAATGGTACGTTATTTAATATCAGTAGCATGAGCTTCTGAAGCCACAAAACTTACGGAATATCTATAAATGTCTATAGTGGCACATTGAAATCTTTGGTTTTTATAGAAAACACACAGCAAAATGGTTCAAATTATTCCAGTAGTGCTAGGTTTAAGACACTTAAGAAGATCTAGTGACCATCTAGTGAGATGGATTATTGGTGATAAGTTTATAGCTAAGACTCTCCATAACCCCAAGATAACTCCGGAAATGGAGTTCGGATGAACACTTAGTTTTCAATTCATTTTTCCCCTTTGATCAATAAATTCATGTCTGATGGAGGCTGGAAGTGGGTAATAACCCAGGAGCTCTATGTCTCAATGGGTTTGCTTTGGTCAAATGACTGTTGGCTGCAAAATTATTTTGATTCACTCAACTGTGGTTTATCTTCAAAAACAGGAAAGGCCTGAGGGTAAAATGTCAGCAAATTTAAGTTCTGCAAAAGGATTTTCTAAAGAAA